TATGTTTCAGTATAGATTTCTCAGACATGAAATATTTTCCCGCAGTAAAAAGTTTCCTATACGTTGAACCGGATAATCAGCTATCATTATACTAAATTTAATCAAAATCCCAGATAGACAGACGAAAATTCTGAAATCTAGATTCGGCCTCTGTATCGATAATAATGACTATTTCAATAAGATTTTCCAAAAAATATAATTTTAATGTACAGATTCGACTCAGAAATTTATGATTCATATGTACCTATAGATGAGATGTTCGTACTATAGTGAACACTACCTTATTCCTGTGTAACTAAAATCATCTCATGAAAGTCCATTAAAACCGTTTCAATAATAAACAATATTCAACTGAAATAACAGTAGAACAAAAATTTTTTTTAATCTTCCTGTTATTTCATATCTGCATTTTTAGTTTCACATATTATTTCATTTTCAATTTTATTGTTTGGCGCATGTTGTTTAAAGTCATTTGACAACCATAGATTTTTGTAATAATAAGACACGTATAATAAACTAGCGACTCACCCTCGCTTCGCTCGGGCTCATCTCTACTCACGTTTTAATAGGTATCCGCAATTGAACCGGATAACCAGCTATTATCATACCAAATTTCATCAAAATCCCTCCAGTTGGTTTTTCGTGATGCGGTCACAGACAGACAGAGAGGCAAAAATTCTAAAAATTATAGATTCGGCCTCTGTATCGATAATAATGACTATTTCAATAAGATTTTCCAAAAAACATTTAACGTACAGATTCGGCTTAGTCACAATTTTATTATATGTATAGATTTTAAAGATATCTTTTATGTGTCACACGCTGATATTTAACATTAATTTGAAGCTTTACGTCGGTTTGCATTAGCCGTACATACATCAGACCCTACCATCCGTCAGTGCGACTGACGAGTGAGGAACATAAATTGAACACGTCACGCCCATTCTCAAAGGTTAAGCGGTGGCTGCGGTCACCACAAATACCGCAGTTTTGGACTATATTTGCTAAGTTAAATTGTTTCCTATAAGTTTTAATAAGTACGAGATTTTACAAACTTTAATTTTAAACATTCGACATTTCTATAGTATTAATTATTTTTTAATTATGAAGCACTGGTAGCCCAGTGGTAAGGCGCTCGCTTGGGAAACCGAGTGAAGCAGGTTCAAATTTCGGGTCCCGCGCCTGATGTTAACTGTGAGAATCATTTCCAACATGATTACCACTTGCCTTACGGTGAAAGAAAACATCGTGAGGAAACCTGTATGTCTGTGAGAACTTAACAAGTTTTCGAAAGTCATGTGAAGTCCGCCAACCCGCACTTGGCCTCGGTCTGATCCCGCGTATTGAAGGGAGGCCCACCCCCAGCAGTGGGATGTTAAAAAAGGGCTGAATACAAAATATATCTTCGTGATTACTTTCGCGTGGAGATTGCATTTCATTTGGATTTCATAATTACGAATACTGTTAATTTTGATATAAAAAGTAATAATAAGTAGATATATATTTTGAAACTAATTAAGATGGTTAAAAAACGTGTAATTTGATTCAATAGACAATATAAATTCGTTTCATTGAACTCGTGTAAGAATTTTATAAATAGTATTGGTTGGAAAATCTAGGCAATTTCAATTTAAGCGTATATTCAAGTTCATGAAATGCTCGTACTGTTGTAGTGGGAAATTATTTTCATCACGACGTTATAAGGTCAAACTTGATTGATTGATGTAACTGCAAAATGACCGTACAATAACAGTAACTAGTTTACCATTTCTTGTTATTCTTGTGTAAAATTTTTAACTTTAAAATAGATATACGACAACAAAAAATTTAAATGATATAAAAAATCCATTTTCAAAAGCCTAAGCATGAACTATATAGTGCATAGTGTAAATTAATGGGCAAACAGACAGACATGCGATGTTATAAGTTCGATCAAATAGATATTTTTGGGCACGACAATACACTTTTCTAGTCTATACAATTATAATAAAATTCTAAATGAGTTGAATCTGTACATTTATTATTTTTAGAAAAGTCTTATTGTTATCGATACAAAGTCCGAATCTATAGTTTTTAGAATTATTGTCTGTATGTTTGTCTGTCTGTCAATCTGTCTGTCATCACGAGAAACCACTGGACAGATTTTGATGAAATTCGGTATGATTATAACTGTTTATTCGGCATAATGGTTATATAGAATACTTTTTACTGCGCAAAAATTACTCATCTCTGGGAAATCTATACTAAACATGAAAACGCAACTAGGGACGAACCCGAGCGGAACGAGAGTAAATCCGTAATATTCAATATAACTATTTTTTTTATAATTTTTGTTAATTATACTATAAGTAATAATAATAATTATAAGTTAATTATACAGTTAAAGCTATAAATGGAATTTTATTAAACTTTATTCGAAATTTAATGATTCTTGTAAAACTGACATAAATTTAAAATAGATATTGTGAGGAATTCCCGACAAACAAGAAAACGCAGACACAAGTCCTTGGAATGCGAATATTATTCATCATTGTACCCTTTTATCCGTTTTTCGTGAATGTAAATATTTTTCTATCGAATTGCTTTGATCTTCTTGCATGGTTTTATGTAGTAGGTTTTATCGTCCATTGTATCTTGACATTTTATTTACTACCAGCCGATCCGAATGACATTGTCTTTTCCCAATTCTTAAAAAAAAAACAAATTCTATGGAAAAAAGCACTTTCAGTTTTATAAAAGCTTCGCCATTTTCCACAAGCTTTTTCCGAATATTTTAATAAAAACGCCCTTGTATTTTGTTATGATATCAAGCCGGTTTCTAATTTAACGTGCTAAACCTATTTTATTTTATTTAGACTATAGACATAGAATAGTTTTTTTAAGATATAGTTCTGGTGCAAATAAGAAATATGATAATTGGAAGAATAATCAATAAACGATAATTATTATTAAAAATATAAATAACATATTTGATTTTCTGGTATATTAACGTATATACTATATTAGCTTCTCCTTTATATCAACAGTTACATCTTGTTATTTCTCTATCAAATAAACTAATCTTGACCCATCCGGGACCAATGTGTTAAATATTTAAACGTGCTGAATTCTGTTCATAAGTTCCCTCAAATTAGATTATTCACTATTAATTCTACCTTAAACAATAGCGGGCTCAATAATGTAAACTGCCATTGTAAATGGGAAAGTAACTGTATGCCTGTCAGGTGTTACGGCGTAACAGTTGAACTGGTCTAAACTCAATTTCATATAAATATACTAAGCCTGAAGTAACATAATTATTCAATTATAAAAAACATACGAAAAGTTTCTGTTAAACAAAACAACTCATAAGGATGAAATGTGACGCATTCATCATTAGAGAGCTTTCTATTAGTGAAAGATTTTTGATAACCGTTTTAGTTCTTTTATTCTTCACATATAAAAGAACAAATTTTGCTTCTTTATCACAGAATAATATAATAATTTATTATATTATATATTAGAATAGCACTTTAAATGAAATACCTAATTATTACATTCGTTTATTAATGTATTTAAATAATTTGAATTTACAATAATGAAATAACACACCGGACCGTTACTCGCACTCACACCTGTCAATATGACAGTTGTGTCATATACATTTTTAATAATAAAAAAAAAGAATGTTGCCATTAATGCCATCGTATTTATATAAATCAAATTAATAAATAATTATTATTTAACATATTATTATAGCCTCTTTAATTCATTTATTTTAATTCATTATTATAAATACAGATATTTTTAATTAAAAGATGTAAAAATTATGATGACTATGCTAACATATTATAATATTTAATTTATCTACCTTTATAATTAAATCTGAGTCAGAGCGTACAGTGATCATAAGTCTAAGCAGCTTATACAACTTCATTTATTATTACCGTAAGAGAAATATAAACGTTGTGCTAGAGTATTTCGTAAATTAACAATATTTAGTGTACTTTTTAGATTTACTAAGGAAACATTAAGTAATTTAGAAATTTTCAATTACATTTTCTTCAGTAAATATTTTCCTTCGAGTTATATATAATATAAAAATTTTCATTCAGTCAGTGCATGATGAGAACATTTTTCAGATAAAACTGAAGCTAAATTCTACCACAACGTCGAAAGTAATATTATACTTTATATTTTAGACAATCTAGCGAAAAAACTTTAGAAGATATTTTTATTTTATTAGGGTTCCTTAGCCATAAAGCAAAAACTGAACCCTTATAATTTCATCACGTCCATCTATTTATATCTTCAAGAAACACTATTAAGTACAAACTTGTTAATGTAAATATTTGAATTTCATTTTAACCTAACAAATTACATAAGGGAAAAAAACAAATTTCATATTTGAAGATACGGAACCCACGATGAGCTCGGACGCATTTGTCTGATTATTTTTAAATTACACGTGCAAAAGTGTAACGTAATTTATTATGATAGAATAATATTTACATATTTATTTTATTCAACAAGCTTATTATTTATTACGGAAAATACAAATTACCAATCCGACTACCCGTGTTATGCCAAAACTAATATTATATCTCGTTCACGTTTCACATTTATATTAGTAAGAGATAAATATTTTTTGACATAATTTCTTCAAAACATATATTATTTGTGAATTTTACACATCTTTATAAATAGCGATTGTGTACTCGAATAAATCTTTCAACTGACTTTAAAGGTACTGAGTTACTTAGTAGAACCTATGACCAAGTTTTAACAAATGCTTATTTATATTAACTAATTATTTAAGTTTCAAATGGGTATATAATTTATCTTTACACGTGATTTTCTTCAGTACAGAGATAGGTAATGATATCCAGCATCACGTTTTGCTATAGCCAGACACGCACTTACATTTATTTTGTGTTTAAATGGAATCCTCAACGGTTTAGATATACATATTATGTAAGGAGAATAATATAAAAAGTTCTTATAAAAACATTCTTTTGCAGAGCCAGGCCATGAGGATTGTGCGCACTGTCGGGCAAGCTTTCGAGGTGTGCCATAAGATGCAGACAAACACACCAGATAACCCCGCGCCTTCCACTTCATCAGCTCCTGATGACATCCGCATCGCACCCAATAACGAGCCATCTCCCAAAGGTCTATCTTCTAAAGGAAAATATCCTTAACAGTGTAGTTTAATAACTTAAAATTTAATTTATTTAACATAAGTCGTAATTTATCGTAAAATGCTAGTGCAAAATAATTTTTAATTCGACATAGATCAATCACGTTGACATATTGACAGAATAGTACTCATGTGCGGAAGACAGTTGAATTACCAATGCGTCATTTAATCTGCACTCCTGTCATTCGTATCAGAAAGTTAATTCATACTTTGTGCCGGCGATTGGATTTCACGTGTTGATTTTATCTGCCTTGCGAAATTTCGATGCGATGTGCGAATTGGCTCAGATGCAATATCGTAAACGCTATTGCGAACATGGTTTTTGATGCGATTTTTTTAATATTATATGCAAATATATGAATCTATGAATATTTGGTGGCAAATAGAGACGGTTTTATTGAGTAGGTTTAACAGCCGAGGACGTGATGCCGAAATTGAGATATACATATGACCAGTCTTCACGCCACGCGTCCGACGTACTCTACTCCATTGAGCGCGCTGTTGTAAAGCCGAAACTAATTTGTGCCAAGTATTCGTATATTCGTAAATACGATGTTACTTTTCGCGGATTTATTTCCCTTAGTTTATTTATATTTATTATGATGGTCGTCTTTTTTCGAAGCAGTGGTCGGTGAATTTAGATACGTTGACACGCGACAACAGTTTTACTTTAGGGGTATTCACCTCTGTTGTTTCATGCATAAATCTGCCGCATATTTTTGTATCTTTTGACTTTTAAATAGGAAAATTATTAGTTAAAAATGAGGATGCGAATATTCTAAAATGAAAAAAAGTTTTTTAATGTTGCACAGAATATACATATAGTATGATATAAATAATATGATATAAAACAGATACGTTTATTTACAAAATATGCGGGATGAACGTGGATAGTTTTTTCTAATTTATGTGATGTTTAGGATATTATAGGTAGATGTACTACCGGCACGCCTCATTTCTCATTAAAATGAGTACACAATATTCTAATATATTAAACTATTTTGTATCTTTATGTAGACATTGAATGATTTAAATTTTATGTTTTAAACTTGAGTATATAAAAAAAATAACTTTCTTTACAGACTAGTGACTTACACTCGCTTCGCTCGTATGCGTCCCTAGGTACGCAGATTTCGTTCGCAATTGACACAGAAGCCAAATCTATAGTTTTTAGAATATTTATCTGTCTGTCCGTCTGCCTATCTGTCTGGGAACGCTTCACGAGAAAACCACTGGACAAATTTTGATGAAATTTTGTATGATGGTAGCTGCGTTATCTCAACATTTAGGATACTTTTTACTGTAGAAAAATATCTCATCTCTGAGATATCTATATTATTCGTTAAAGCATACCAATTTTTTTATCTTATAATTGAAATCATAAATAATGCCGTAACCAAGAAGACGTAGCAAAGATAATGGCATAGTTAGATATAAGTAAAAGATAGTTATCATCGGATTACTCGCTCACATATATTTCCATTATACGATAATAGCCCTAGGATCCGAGCTTCCTCTATTTAACTATTTTACTCTTGTTGACAGGATATTAACTTAGCAAGATTATTCGGCGACGTATTTGCATTAATATCCAACAGAATATTACATTTGCAAAGGGAAATTGTGCTGATGTATTTATTTTCGGGTTTTGTGTCTTCAATATTGTTACGATTTCTGAATAGCATCCGCTGTCTGATAAATTTTATTAGGATATTACTTATTATATATTTTTAAATGATTAAAACGAGTTTTTTTAATATATAATTAATAAAAAGAACAAAACAACTAGCTTAGGTAAATATAGCAAGTAAATACATAAATAATTTCTAGATCTTTAAAAAAAATTTAATGTAAAACTTCTTTATGTAAAACTGTAAAACTTCTATATTATTTTTTTACATTACAAATATAATTTTTATTACTGAAAATCAATACATAACTAAAAAAAATATTGAATCATCATTTGATTGAAAATTAAATTTTATCTTAACAATTTCTGTACAATGAGAATAATAAAAAAATATTTTCTTTTTTAAATCGATAAATAAAACACAAATTAAATTTCATAAAAAGTAGTGCTAACCTAAAGAAGTTTCACTTCTTGCGCGTGTACACATTGATACTCACGTATTTTTTTATATTCGTCCATCCTTGTCTGGTTAAACCGCCGATGTAGAAATAGAAAACAAAAAATATATGGGAATTACATATTCTAACCACGTGAAACAACTCTTAAATATGTCATTTCTATATATTCTTTCATTTTATCTAACAGACTAGCGACTTTCCCTCGCTCCGCTCGGGCTCATTTATGTTTTAACGTTGGTGGGGAAGGTTCGCTGGCGGAGGTGTTCCAGATGAATTGAAAAGTTTATTTATTTTTGTATCTTTTAATTACATATTTTAATTATTAAAGTCTATAAGGGTAATGTATGACATATATATTGACAAGTCGCTATAGCAACGATTACAGTTAAAAAATAAGATGCGGGTGATGTGAGGCGGTATGTCCACATCTGATTTAAGGCGTAAACATGCTCCCCGGGCTTGGATCCTCAGGATCCAAGTTAATCTTCAGAGACAGGCAAAGGACAAATTCTATTGTAGGCTCTTCGAATTGATCCAGAAGAAGTAGTGATATCGGCGACACGAGCTATGCCGTCAGGCCCTGGATGTATGCCTATAATTCGACCAAGCAGCCAGCGGTTTGGTGGAAGATGATCATCCTTCACCACGACCAAGTCTCCGATTCGTAGCTCTCGACTGTCTGTGCGCCGCCATTTAGTACGTTTCTGGAGCTCTGAGATGTACTCTTTATAGTATCTATTCCAAAAATGTTGCGCGAGCGCTCGTGCTCTTTGGTAGCGAGGCAGCGTACAAATCTGGTTCTCTCCTTTCAAATCAATCTGAGAGTGGGGCAGCATAATTGGAGTCTGACCAATCAGGAAGTGAGAAGGAGTTAACGGAATCAAATCACTGGGATCGGACGATAAAGGAGTTATAGGTCTTGAGTTGAGGTTTCCTTCTATTTGAATCAAGACCGTGTTTAGTTCTTCGTATGTCAAATGTGCTAGAGACAACACTCTTTTTAAATGGTATTTTATTGATTTTACTGAACCTTCGGCGAGGCCGTTAAAATGAGGACTATAAGCCGGAGAAAATTTGAAATGGATCGAGTGCTCAGCCGCATAAGAACTAATGTCATTACTTTTCGATTTGAGAAATTTGGCGAGCTCATTACTAGCCCCGAGAAAATTAGTCCCATTATCTGAGAAGATTTTTGCAGGTTTACCTCTGCGAGCTATAAATCGATTTAATGCAGCTATGAAACCCTCGGAGCTTAAGTCTGTAACTAGTTCAATATGAACTGCTCTTACGGCTAGGCAGACGAAAACGCAGATATACGATTTTATTAATTTACACCCTCTACCTTTTCTGTCGGCTAAAGTTATAGGACCAGCGTAATCTACTGCAGTATTAAAAAGGGCAACTCAGTATAAAGCCTTTCTTTTGGCAAACTAGCCATTAAAGGTTGAATCGTTTTGCCTGAGAATATACAACATGCATGGCATTCATGTGTTACCTTTCGAGCTAGATTTCGACCTCCTATTACCCAGAACTTGTGTCATAATGTAGCTAAAAGTAGTTGAGGCCCTGCATGTAACAAGATCTTGTGGTAATGCCTAAATAACAAATTTGTAATGTAATGTGCTGCATGAAGTAAAATAGGATGTTTCGTGTCATAATCATAATTAGAGTTTGATAGTCTACAGCCAACTCGAATTAGTTTTTCATTTGATATGAACGGATTTAAACTTAATGTGCGTGTTTTAATTGGTAGGGCTTTATTTTTAAGTAAAAGTGTATATTCATTTGAAAACATGTCGAGTTGCACTAATTTGCATAATGTATTCGTGGCAGAGTTTAACTCAGATTCGTTGTTGAGTTTGTATACATTTATTTCATGGCTAGCGTCAAAACGCCAAAGTATTTGTGGTAAATATCTTTGAACTTCTGCAACAAGTACACATCTGTACATTTTTTGGCAATCAGAAGTAACGACGTATTTGTGTTGTCTAAAACGAACTAAGATTGAAATTAAATCGTCTTGTACAGTCGGACCTATACTTTGGATATTATTAAATGATATTCCTGTGGTAGTTTTGGCGGAGGCGTCAAATACAACTCTTAGTTTCGTTGTAAGACTGGACTCACGCAAAACAATTATGATGAGGTAATATATAAGAGTGTTTTTCATTAGAGCTAAAGTAATTCGTATTTACAGACATATGACCAAGATCAATATATTCTTGTATAAAGTCACAATATCTTTGTTTAAGTAATGGATAACGTTTAAACTTTCTTTCTAAAGACTGCAATCGAGTCAATGCCTGTTCATACGAATCGCCCAATACCTCCGGAGATTGTGTTAAGGGAATGCGCACAACGAAACGACCATCTTTTTGACGTTTGGTTGTCGTAACGAAATGTTATTCACACTCATCCTCTTGTTTTGTTGTTTTACGAGGTGAAGATATGGATTCTAAATCAAAAAATCTATTAAGCTGGTGTTGAAGCTCAAGTTCGTTTACAAAATTGCAATGGACTGTATTAACGCGCGTGTTTTTTATATTTGATTGTGTGTACATAGCACCAGACACTAACCAACCAAATTTCGTATTACTAAGGATCGGCCTATTTTTACCTAACTCAATACGTTCGTTACCTAATGTATTCCAAAAAACATCCGCGCTAAGTAACATGTCTATTTCAGACGGTGAGTTAAAGCTTGGATCGGCTAAACGTATGTTCTTAGGAATATTTAATGACTTAATATTAAAATACGTGGCCGGCAGCATTTGAGTTATATGTGATATAATAAAACAAGAAATGTCTGTTTTATACGTTTCAGTCCTAGAAGATATGGTAACGATAGAACGTTTATTAATGCAAATCGCTTCACGACTTAATC